CGTAGCACACTGTTCCTATATATCGTCGGGGTTTCTCTATGCAGCACTAAGCATTATGAATAGTAAATTGGATTTCCGTTTATGACAGGAATTTGGCCTCGCTGTCGATATCTCCAATTGAGGTATGGTTTTAGAACGTTTAACACTGAAGGCATTCGGTGGAGTGCACTGTTACAGAGTGCATTATTTTATCCTGAGCGTAGCATGACGCAGTTTCATACATATCTTCTTTATGATAAACACCAATAAAGAGACATTCACATTCCTGGATGCACTTTCCTAAGACCGCTTTCGAAGATGCGAACGCCGTGATAAAGTCAGCATATCTAAAAAACGCAAGCATGCATAGGTGTACATAAGTGCATTCGATGTCATGAATGCAAAAAAACAACATAGTCTACCAAAAATTTGCCTTTATCTCTAAAAAATTGACGTAAATGAAGAATTGATGAATAGTAAATTGTCCAACCATGAAGTCAATTACTATTAAATGAAATGAACTTCGCAGTTCAGCACACTAATTTGTATCTGTGTAGGTTACAAAGAGAGGGAAAATGTCACTGTATTAAGGATAGTTGAAGTCCAAAGCCAATGTTTGTGATGGAGCTAGAGTATTTACCAAGCGTTTCACAACTCTCATATTCTCGCTATTTACAAAGACATTTCCAACAACACATCTACCCAAGGTCACGATCTCATCAATCAAGTGATATAGGTAAACTAAATTTAGTTTTCAATGCCCACCTATAACAGCAGCGTTCGTGTACTTTTGTAACAATGGTTAGAGCCTTCTGCGGGGACATGCAAACTGCTCGTTAGCTAAAGTAAACATTTTGCCACAATCTGGAAGACATTAGTAGACAGTTGAATGCTACTACCACCTTGGTTGCAAGCTGCGCTGATTCATCACAACAAGATACGACACAATCTTCACGGCCAAATACACCACTGTGTTCTTTATTTTCGCTTTGAAAATATAAGTGGTACTATAAAATAACCATGCTCATCAATAACGGTGATTATGGAAATGTTCATAAGATTAACCGGTTGAGATATGATCTAAACCCGTGTGCATGTTCTGCCCTGATTATGCGAGCACTCATATCTTGTCTCTCATAGCTCTACTTATCAAGGCATGCGACAGTGTGTGCTTACCCCGGTTACTTTAAATAATACCTGCAGACTTGTCAAGGAGTCGGTAATTCTGACCGCACTATACACTGCCTTGCAGCCCTAGTTGCGTGTATTCTATCTTATTCAAACACGTGGACAATACCTGTATGCAAGGAAACTTATACCATTCAGATTGTGTTCCAAACTGTGGGGCTTCGGGTACCTAGATGGAGTTCCACGTCAAGCACAAACCTGGCACACACTTTCAGATGGTGAATGCCAGACGTTCCTTCCCGTAGGATATCCTGCTGATTTTATCCTGCTAACACTAATTTATATTCGTTGTGCTACTATACGATTTAACAACTCGCGAGCACGTACTCAGTAATTGAATAATAATGCCACATTATTGTCGCATGTTTGGGTAATTATTAATTCCAGGATCCACATGCATGTCCATGTTTCCCTGTAAAATATATGCTGCAAACTCAGGAGTAATTAACAACAGTGCATATGCCAATGGATTTGGAGGCATCAACTCAACAAAACCGGCATTTACTCTGTGTGGATAAGTAAATGCATATTTTGCAGAATTATTCAACACGTGGTCATTCTGGTGGCTCACGAATCCGATCAATGCACTCTGATCACAATTGCACAATGAAACACACAACTAACTAGCTGGCTACACAGGAAGGCAAAGAGGGTGGCAAGTGTGCAATTTAATCCTTCACTGTCTTCAGTGAGCATCAAGATCCTTATCCAGAACAAAATATCTTGCATGGCCTGAAGACGTTGATACCAGGTACAATTGACCAGTCACAAAATATCCACGTCAGTCTGCTCGGCAGAGTAGCGCATGTCGTAGATCGAAGAGCCAAACCTCCATGTTTGTCCATCGCGCACTTGTAAAATCGTGTTTATTCACACCCATTAATCCGGTCTCTCCACCTCCGACACGGGGTTCTCCTTTTCGCAGCACGTCGCCACACACATTCAGATGGTGAATGCCAGACATTCCATCCTGTAAGATATCCTGCTGATTTTATCCTGCTAAAGTTAATTTATGTTCGTTGTGTTACTATACGATTTAACAACTCGCGAGAACGCACTCAGTAATTGGATAATAATGCCACATTATTGTCGTATGTTTGGGCAATCATTAATTCAACGATCCACACGGATGACATGAACGGAAATCTAATTTACTATTCATAATGCTTAGTGCTGCAGACATGGCTAGTAGGAACTGTGGGATGGGCGCGTTTGCGTTCACCAGGCATCTAGTATCATGGGACTGATCACCTAGGTGTTAAGAGCAGAAACGACAGTAGCAGCTGCAGCAGCAGCGAATGTTGCGTGAATTGGACTCGGCATATCTTTGTAGTCCAAGGCCTT